ATTACATAATAAACGAATCCGTCAAATTTAAGCACATGTTCCTATTATAAAAGAGATTTACATGACATCAATACAGGTATGACGATAGGGTAAAATTAACGCAAAAATTTGAAAGAATGTTATTTTAAGCTTTTATTTGTAGAAATGTATCTTAAAGATTTTTGATATTACTAATTGTTCAATCGTATACAGAGATTATTATTTTTTATAGAATAATAGAACATAGTATATATATATTTATTTACCTACCATTGTCGAGAAATGTTTAAAGCGCCTAAAAAAATATTTGTGCAGAAGTTAAGCTATGTAGTTCTAGTTGTTTTAAACTGCCAACCAATCTACATTTAATTCATTTTATCCGCTATAGCTATCGAAAGTTTGTTGTTGAAAAATTTGAAAACATCTAATTTTTCCAATTAATAGCGTTAATTTCTGTTTTAGACTCACACTAGTTTTTAAAGTAATACACTTGCAAGTACGCATTTTTAGAGTAAAAACCAACTAACATTTATAGTTAGTTTTTACATAAAATAAATATGCAGCCACTTAATACAATTTCTTTTATTCTTATATCTATCTTTTATTTTTACTGTATATTGTTGTATGTAAATAAGTATATTTTACCTTATCTTTATTATTTCAAAATTATAATGATTCTATTTTCAATCACCAAGGAACAGAAAAAATTAGTGCGAAGTTGACACGAAAATTTGTTCCGTAGTCAATTCATTATGACTGATGCATTGATTTTATCTGGAACATACCTAATCTTATGTCTAATTTACACATACTGACTATAATATTTACCTGTATAATAAGAAATTTAGCGATTACATTATCCTTGTTTACCACTATCATACTGTCATTGAAACAAATACAATATTCACTTCATTATGATCCTATAACCTACATTTGATACGGGCTACCTACTAATATTAATGATTAATTGCAGTTCATACCGATAATATTTATGAATATTCAAATACTAACCCACCTAAGAATATCGTTATGATTTTTGAGGTTATTTGATAAAAAAAAAAAGCTATTGGATAGATAGCTGATGCTAGAAATAACAACATTTAACAGAATTAGTATCTTGTGTTTTCTATATATCTCGAGTATATATTTCGAGTCTATCCTAATAAAATATTTTTATGTACATATAACATTTACTAAATTATTTACGTTGTAAGTGTTTATTTTAGAAAGTTAACAAACACAATATATATGTGACACGAGGTATTTTAACTTTTGAATTAAAAACTACGATTACTAGATATATTGTTTAAAAATACAGAATTTAATAACTCCGTTTGTTTTATTAACCACAACAGTATTATATGTATAATCAAACTGTACATTAGAACAATAAATAATGTTCTAATAATTTTGTTTGCCGTTTAGATTACAGTAAGTACCATCGACAGGGAATTTTCCTGAGACCCTGGAATCTAAGAGATAGTGTGGTTTCAGATGTATTTCCTCCCACACACTCAATGTGCACTAAAATGCCGCGGTTTTCTTTAGAGATACAGCATAGGAGTTTTCAACAATACACTGGGGTATAAAAAAATACCAAAATGTATAAATAGTATATAAACTATATATAGTCTGTTTTTTAATCCCGTAGACAAATTTGACATTTCCAACGCTGCAAGGTTTTAGCACATTTTAAATTAATATTAATTACTCATTTTTATAGGTTATTTAGAAATAATCTGTGGATGTTTACTTAAAACCCATTAACACAGTACAAACAATTAATAAAGTATAGATATTAATAAATATATGGTTGTTGTATCAAAATAATTTTTTTAATTTTTAACTAAAATGAAGACTAACTACCTTTTTTATAAAACAAATAACATTTTTATTGACAATTGACATTAACATTTATATTAAAAATTACTATTTGTACGGAAACGACAAAAATGTATTTTTATGCTATATAATACGACGACAGTAATGGAAACACTAGTATATGTACGTAAATTTTAAAATTCTGTTTTGGAAACGTCATTTAAAGCTTTAAAACTAATGTGTTAAAATAAAAGTTTCCGATAAAAAAAATCGATATCTCAGGTACAGCACTACCCCGCTATAGGTGGTAACATTATTTGAAAGTTTGACATTATTACCAATCTAGTCAAGTAATCTATCAATTTAGTCTCCGGGATTAAAAAACAGACTATAGGTAAACATATCATAAATTTATGTAGTAGGTATAAAACAGTATATTCTAGAACGCTACCTAAGTTACGCCTGTGTTATTAGGCCAAGTACTCTAATAGCATTGTTGGCCGGCATAAATTCCACTGTACAGGATAAATTAAAATGCATGCATAATGATCTACTAACCAAATAATGAATCAATCAATTTCACGTTCGACGTTGGGCGTTACTTTATGATTACAGATTGTTTAGTAAATTTAAACCTGCCGTTTTGAATACAGATAAGATTCATTAACCTACGCTCTATTTAAACGTTATATAGTGTAAATGCACACAATAATTATTATAAATATATAAGGTTTATGTTTGGAAGTCAAAGGATTAAGCAGTATTAGGCAGCGGGTTAAGCATATGAAAACTGCAGTCGCGTCTGATGAAGGACTCTTACCATGTTTTTATTGTATTTTATTTAAAATAGCCATACACTTAATCTCACAATCCTAAACCCTATAGTAAGGAAATATTGAAGGTGACACAGCTTGACAAAAAAAATCTTTTCTCAGTACCTATTCAAGATATCTTTATGAAATTGAAACCATATATATCGATAAACTAATTATAATATTTTTTTTTACAATGTTAGAAACTGTAAAAAGCGAGAAATATAGTATGTTTTTGGGTCGGGGTTTTTTATATCAACATCTAACAAAAAATATATCTTATTTATTAATTAGTTAGTTTTAATTTCTTTAGAGTCGGCGGGGTATAAACAACGTCTCGAAAGCTGCGGTTAAATATTAAGGATATTTTAGAAAATAGATATTAAATATAAACTATAAAAATCTGAGCACGTCCAATTGTGAACTATGTATAGTAATGCAAATTATTATAGGTACATTATTATTATAGGAGAGTCAAATTTGGCCTCAATTTATTTATCTTGACAATAGTTATTTAAGTTTACATATCAACATTTTGCGTTTATATTTGCAATACAGACTAAATTATTAATATATATTCGACAAATGGCTGCTGTAATTTATTTTGTTATACTGAAACAATTCTTCAAATTCTAATCGCAACGTAAGTCAAATGATAATAATAAATGTTATTTATTCATTAACACATAATTATTATTTAAATTGTAATTTGTACAAATAAAGATTTAAATAAATAATTAAATATAAATTGATTATAAATATGATGTAACAGATTAATTTAGCCGCTAATACGTGTATAATAAGCGTCGACAGACAATATATAAAAACTATAGAAAAAACTAAAAGTTCTTACCATTTACTATTACAGTACCATAGACACATACCTATATTACCTATACGTATAATGAGTTAAATAGTGTAAAATGTGCAGGGGTAAAATACTCCTGTTAAATTTAAATAGCAACAAACATCTGAACAGAATAATGAACATATGTAAACTTGAAGGATGCCATTATTCGAATTATTGAAAGTTTTGTTTTTACTTCTGATGGTGGGAAGTAGAAACCATCGCCTGTAAACTGTACATGCTATTTTTATTTGTGAAGAATTTTTCCTTCGTCTTCGCCAGGCAAAGCCATCAGTGAAATTATAAAAAAAGAAAAAGTAGTACTTTACTTTGTTTATTTTATTTCGTATTATAGTATATAGAGTATTATATTTCGTATTATACATACTCGCGTTTATTACTTAATTTGCATAAGCTTCTACCTCCTATACATCCCCTTGCAGACTTTGAGATAATAGATATCCTGTGTCTGTCCTCGTGATACAATCGTGTCAAATGTAACAAACAGACGGATTTGCAGAGAGGTGCATTTTGCATATATTGGTGTCGACTGATATATCATATCGGATTAATCATCAATTAACCTTCAACAGGCTGATCTAATGGAGAGCTCTACGTTGATATTTTACTTTTGGGCTGTACGTTTTGTTCAGAGGAAACCAAAGTACTAAGAAGCCTACCGAGAACAGATTCCTACCACAGGAAGACTGTAAAAAGTCCAAATCGAACTTATTTCAGCTGCTAAGAAGTGCTTTGTGTAGTAAATTTCAGTGGTAGTGTGCCAACCAGTGAAATTACAGGATAAGAGGCATGGCATCTTAGTCACCTGGAATAGCAACGCACGAGTGATATTACGGGTTTCACACATAACATGATATCCATGGTTAGTCCATGTAAGTAGGTATGTATATATAGTAGGTGATGGTTACAGCTTACAGTCAGGTGGGCCATCAGATTGATTGTCTTTCCAATAACATAAAAAAAATAATTATCATCAACACTTGTATTCATACCCAGGATAAAAAAGTTTGTACTGTGTGATGAATCGAATTCGCGACCATCGAAAGTAAGGCGGTTTCCTAAGCCGCTAGACCACAGAGGTCGTTATTGTAATCATTAAAACAATTTTGGTCCTTCATCAGTAGGTATTTTATACTACTTGCGATTTCATATGTTTATGTTTTAACGTAACTATAAAATAATATCGCTATTAAAAATAATGAATGAAAATTTAGGGTTGTAGATATCTATTTAGTAGGTTATTGTTAAGGCCACATTATAAAAAGTAAAAAAAATATTCCGATAAATAAAAAAGTTAAGGGTGGACAACCCTTATCACTTAGAGGTATGCAAAATAGATAGTAGCCAATTCTCAGACCTACTGACGCATATAAAATTTCATAAAAATTTATGAATAGTACAATATTATTAAAATTCACTTTAAATTAGTAAAGGATTTTTTACTAAATCTCTGGATCACTACACCTACCTATCATATATTATACTATCATTTAAAGACAGTTTTGAAGACAGAAAATTAAGAAAACACACTTATAAAATTATTAGATTTTTTTTAATATTACATTTTCAAGTTCACTCTACATTGTTTGCAGTTTGCTTTACACGTTCACGTTCAACTTTATACAGTACAACATTTTTTTTGTTTTTATGTACATTTTATATAAAAAGGCATTTAGGCAGTGTCGTAGTAGGTCAGAGGTAGAGATTAGTGCCAGCCTTGGGGTCCATGTCCCCAGGGCTCCTCGGGTGAAGCGGCGGCGGCATGAGCGGCGGCCGCATATTGTGCAAGGTGGGCAGCTCTCGCGTGCTGCACTTCAGGTGTATCCACTACGTATTGACCATCGTGGGTCAGCTGGATGTGGGCCTGGAATAATAGTTATTATTAAATTAACCGTAATAAGTAGACTTTGTCGTTGATATCGTCTGTATCTGAACTATTACAGTCGCCAAGTAGCTTAGTTTGTAGGATATGATTTTATTATATATTATGGTTTGAAGGGTATGGATAAGGCAGTAAAATTACATCACATTTTAATCCTTTAAAATGGCATAGAACCCCACCGGTGTCACATGGTTTATGGTGCTGTTCGTATACATATACGTATGAATGATCCCACCGCTGTCACATGGTGTCCTGACAATGGTGCTGCTCAAGTATATAGTCACGATTACCATAGACCATTAAATGAGCTTGCCAGTCCACATGTTTTTAATAACAATTTCATTAATATACTTATATCTTCCATATAGTTTTATATCACGTACCTATCGATATTATGATTTAGAATATATTCATGGTATTGAAACTTACTGGGGGTCCAGTCCATTTGCCGTAACCTGCGGCGTATCCGGCACCATGAGCAAGGGGTGCGGCGTAACTAAGAGGAGCGATCGGTCCATGGCCAAGAGGTGCTAACGCACTGCCGTGCGCGGCGTGAGCGTGCGCCTGGGCGTGTGCGGCCTTCAGGTGGGCAACCTCAGGGGTGTCTACAACGCGACCATCATGCGCTAGGGGCGCGGGGCCGTACTTGAGGAGACCTTTGGAAAAATTGAAATGATGGTGAATGAAAATTAAAAAGTCATTGTCAGAATTATGCACCTGTTAGTAGTTACTATACTTAATTAATACTGAGATTGAAAGTCTTCTAAAGAAAGAAGAGATTGATAAAGAATTCTTATTATCATACACAGACTATGTTGTTATCTGCGATCATAATAGTAATATTATTGTAATTAATGTGTATTTTGAAACTACGTCCCTACTGTCAATAATTCATAAATATCAATATAATCATTTAAGAATTAAATAATGTATTCTTAACATTTCAGTTCACTATAAGAACATATTTCAAATGTAGCTCTAGAAATATGAACATTATTGAATTAATAAAAAAATATTGAATTTTTTAATTCAATATTTTTTTTATAGAAAAAAGACTCAAAAAGTCACTTACCAGCTGCAGGTGCACCGTAGTGACCAGCCGCGTAAGCAGCGGGTGCGCCGAGGTACCCAGCGGCGGGTGCCCATGCTCCGTGAGCGGACGATGCTTGTGCATGCGCTGCGTAGTGGGCTTGTTTTGCATGTGCTACTTCGGGTGTATCAAGAACATATTTGCCATCGGGACTAAGCTGTATGTGAGCGGGTGGGCCGGCATAGTATGAAGCCTGAGCGAGGCAGAGTGTGGCTGCGAGGATAATCTGTAATAGAATTCATTTATTTTTATAAATAAGTAATAAAGATATTTTTCGTGTTATTCTAAATTAAGACACCTTATACTCGACATGATCATGGGTTTGTCAGGATGGTATTCTGATTTTCCAGTGACACATAAATATGTAAAAATGGACCACGCACATTTCAGATAATAGTGTTCTGAAGACCCCGGTTTATTACTGCATTAGTCACACACGACATCCTGTTTAGAAATAAGCCAATCAAATCGGCCTTCCAAAATAAACCTTATACTACGAATCCTAGTTAAGAAAACCGATAAGTAACCATCGACATTGGCTGTTGCTGTCACTAATCGGAGCGGAACCCACGATTTCACACCTGCGCCAATGCGCTGCGAAAACCACAAGGAAAATATGCTACTAGATCACTTTCACTGGATTAAAAATACAGTACGCCATATATTTTCAAAAATATCAACTCATATTTAACTTTATTATTGGACAGCTTGACGTAGACTCTAATAATTTGGAATAATAAATCAAACGTGGAATCATTTTTTAAGAAAATAATATTCAATTTCTTTGTATCATTTTCATTTCAAGTAATTTATTTCATAGTAAATATTAACAAAATTTTAGAGCAAAATATCGAATTGAAACATTCTATGTTTGCAAATTCAAGTTATCTTCTAATAAATAATGTCTGACGTAGCATAAGAGAACTCAATTTATGGTCGACTGAGGTTCATACAATATCGATGCAATTGGTGTTGAAATGCTACTAATAGATCTATGTCACGCATGACTGACTTTTTCATATCACGATAAGTAAGAAAAAAATGTATATTTCAGCATAAGATCTCATAATCTTACAAAAGCACGACAGGCCAACTTGAAATTTCTGTTTAATATTTCAAACTATCTGCGTACAAATTTACTACCACATCCCGCACCGCTGCCTGATGATAAAGAATAAAACTTCTTTACTAACTTTTACATAAATTTGAAATTAAAATATTTTTAGTCGTTTTCGGATTTATATAATCTAAAACAATTTCTTTATTTAATCACTTGCACAATAAAAGGAAAAGTACAATACAATAACATTCTCACTATATGAAATATTTTCTATCTTTTATGTTAGTTACGCCTCTGCGCCAAATCATTTCGCATATTAACAATATAACTGGATGATTACAGTTTTCACAGAAATTACAACTAATTAAAATATAAATCCCTGTTCTTAATGAATTGCTTAATAAACTCTCATTGTTGCACATATTTCTTTTGACAACATGAAAACAAATGATCATTTGTCTTAATATCTGTTACAGATTCTTGTAACTCACCTTAAAAATTATTAAATTATCTAATAATTGTATCTCTATTCTCACGGCAATGTGGATTTGTGTATTATTTAATTTTGTAAGTATCATGGCATTGAAATACATTTTGTTCTTATTTCGCCATTATTCACCGCCATACAATGCGTGTGAACGGCTAGACGAAAACTGATGCAATTTTATTATAAACAATGGTATTTTCTATCTTTGTCATAATTTGTTAAATACTTTCAAGTTAGTCCTACCGAATAACAAGATCTCATTTCTATCTAGGTATATTAAAAATATAAGATAAATCTTTTATTATAAACACCTCACAGAAAAATTATGTACCTACTAAATTTAAATTATTTTGTGACTTAGAGCACCGTGTGGGTGACTTTGTCTAGATTGTCAAAGAGATTCCGGCCGCTGCGCTGTGGTAGAAATATTCCGACACTATAGTCTATTTTTAACTCTTTGAAGATGTAATATTCCCGCAATAGTTCACAGAGTCACGAGATATATATCATTTTCTTTTTATGATGTTAATTTTAAAAACAAAATATGTTGTAATACATAGCATTGTAAAATACACTTAGTATATTACTTTGTATTTATAAATTGCTCTTAAGGTGTCGGTCTAAACGTGGTTACCTAACTACTTTGCCCATTATATCTTACTAAAGTTTCGCCCTTTATCTGGTAACATTAATTCTATTAGATCTATATCGTCGGTGCAAAGCCATACCTACCAAACCAAGGAGTTAAATGTAACACTTTGTAAGGCGGGGCATAGTTGCACGCACAGACTAATGCAGATGATAGATAAATCGAGCTAGGAAATCGTTAAACGAAGCAATTAGTTTTATATGCGTCTATTGCTAAAACATAACACGTTTGGCCGCTACTAGTAATAAGAATGCACAAAATGTTAATCTATAGGTAAATGTATAAGTATAATTTTCGTCTATCTGTGAACACACAGTAATTTTCATTTAGATTTCACTTTGGTTTCTCAAATTATTTAAATAATAAAATGTTATTTACACCTCATCTTTTTCCCTTGTACGTAAATTATGTGGCTTTTAAATCCAAAATCTTAAAAACTTATTACGTCTTTAAGGAAGAGGATACAATAGTAGGAAGCATGCATAATAATTTAAGGAAAAAATTGACGTTTTTTTGTTATTTTCTCTGTACTATATTTCCTGCTATTGTTTCTTTAGGTATGTAACTATAATACTGTAGATATGGTATTTATTGCTAGTAGTTCCTATATTCATGTTAACGCGGTGATAGAATGAAATGATAAATGATGAAAAGATAAGTAAATTTAATTTATGAAGTTAAGAAGACAGTAATATTGCAGAAGAACGACAGTAAAAATGGTGTATAATACTCAAGGTACAGATATATGTACTTTATAAATTAATGCAATTCATATTTAATTGTGGTTTCTACTCCATTTATATGATCTGACAATAACCATATCGTGTTACAAATGTTATTAACAATGTACGTGTGGAAAGCCATTCGATGTATTATGTTCCAAATTAAAGTCGTCCCAAGTGAATTATATCTTGCGGTTTTGCTTTATTGATATAAACAATACAAAATTGCACGATACAAAGTCACTTGATCATGTTTATATACGGAATTAATAAATTGAGAAATTTCAATAACAAAATCTCTTTGTGTACAAATGTATTGAAATGGACATGCTTGAAGATCCAAAGTAGAAATAGTGAAAGAAATAATAAGTATTTTAAATATACTTTTACACAACATAAAAAGATGTCATAAGGCCTACAAGTAATTGATTAATATAATATATAGTCTATGGATATCTGTTAAAATGCAGATTATGAATGATACCCGTCATTGCAGTGATGACTTGATTTTTATTATGAAATAGCTTGCGTAGTAGCGGAATATCGAATATAATATTACTATAAATTGAATTCATAACCTAGTGGTAGCCGGGCGAACTAAGTATAGTGTCTAGACTAACCACTATATACTTACTAAGTTAAAGTAGATAGCATGAAATCATATACTGCCCGATAGTAGACAATTATTACACTGCAAACTGTACTAACCATAAATATATTATGGATCCAATAATATGAGGGACTGAGAACTATCTTAAAATTGCAATTCATGAATTAATCAAAACTTACCTACCGCCCGTATTTATTACTACAATGAACGGCTCCACAAAACACGAATGATTCATGTTACTGTCATGTTTAATTATCGAACACAATTGAACGTGAATCAACACTTCGCATGCCTATTTAAATTTTTTTATAATATTTCACCACTATTTTTTACATATTCTTTACATTTAATACGTTCAATAATTTTGTACCATATTTCAAGCTCTTGTTGGCGATATGATTTACATATCATGGTCATGATATATATAACTGCGGAATTAATATGATCAATTCGTAGATTCATAAATATATTAGGATATTTTAAATAAAATGAAGCCCGGTAAAGTTTGATCTCATTTGATTTGTCTATATGTATTATAGTTGATTAGCACCACACGAATTGATCCTCATAAGAATCACTTCGAAAACTTACTATAATTTTAAATTTAAATTTTTCTAAATTTTTATTACTAGAAATATCCAGAGTTTGTATTTGTTCAAAACATTGACTATTTGTGGACATTTTTTTAACATAGCTAGAAGAATAGACGATTGTAATTAGATCAAATCCAATTACGTATTCATAAGTACTTTATATTTCTAATAATTGCTAATGTTTTGTCCTATCTATATCTTGGAGCTATTTTCAATTTTTTAAGTAAATGATAAAATACTGTAACAGTAAAATTATGTTGGAAGTTTTAGTTTTTAAAAAGTAGTAGCTAAGTTCAAATAGCATAGTATTAGCTGCCGGAAACTATATTATGTTGATACTTGTTCATATAATTATATAGATTGTTCGCAAAATTGATCGCTTGTGTAAAAGCGCGTAGATTGTTTGCAAAATTGAACGCCTGTGTAAATAACTTATGGCATTTTATAAACAATCGGCAGTTATGCAATGACGAATAGACACGACCCATTCAATGCGGCTGTCTGTTCAAAATCCTTTATTTAAGTAGATCATATTTTGTTCATGGCCCTGATAAATAATTTATATGACTGTGCACTTTATTCGAAGTTTTACGAGTTGTGTATTACTAACATATAATAAATATTAATACAAATATCATTGGAATAAAAAAAAACATTTTTTATTTTTGTATGCAGCCAGCAAACATATGCTAAGAACACATACGAGTATAGAATATCCTAGTCCTCTAGAAAATACACTCTCAGTATTTGAGTATCCATATTATAAATTAATTTTAAATCAATATAAAAATAGCAAACTATTTTTCTAAATTGATCAAACCGATCGTTTGATCTCAGTATGATGATAATGAGATTATAATTCCTCTTATCAGGATTCTAAATTGATCTTCTATCATGAAAAATTAACCACACCAAACAAAGCAAGTGCACTATAATTTGTGGGTGTGGACCTCATATCGACTTGCCTTTGCATTCTGTTGCAAAAGCTACATTTTGCAATAGATCGGAATTATCATTCGGCGAACTGGTGCACAACCAGTCCGTTGCAATTTAGAGTTAGCCAAGAGGAAGCTGTGGGCGTGAGGAAGTATAGGGCTAAATGAAGGTCATAAGAAAATACTGTATCACATTGAAAATAGAAATTGCAACCGTCACGCCTCATGATCGTTGGACACTAGGTACCTGCCCTGACTTCACGTAGATGCAATTATTTTAGTATTTTCTATTTTTTTTATTATAGTGCAGTTTTCAATAGATAAAAGAACATAAAATAATTTATTTTATGTGAAAATATTTCCTTTTTTATAACATAATTAATTTATCAAACACTAGTTGAACATAATTCTACAAATGTCAATTAATTCGCTTTTGTACCGGTTGCACTAATTACTTGGTATGTATTACGCAGTCTACGTGACGTATAATGGCATTTTAGGAGAAAATGTACCTTCATATAGTACAGGTAGTATTATTTATCCTCATCATATATTAGTACAATTCTTATCCGCCCACTGCCGTATGAAATCGGCCCGCCGCCCACCAAATTGCACTTAACATAAGGCTGAATTTAATTTTTTCTCATTATAGCAAAAACAAATCGCTGTGTAATTTCACAATGAATATATAGGTACTAGTACTTTTCTAAGAAAAAATATAATACTTCTATTTTCAAATATTAAATCAAAAGAAATTTATAGTCGGAATTGTTTTGTATCTCGTAAGCTTCAACGATACAAATATATTCGTGCATTGTATTATTTTAATAAGACCTTGACATAATATTTAACTTTGAAACTGATTAAGATTTTAGTGCCTCGATGATTTATACAGTAAGTACAAATTGTGGGCAGGATTAAGTGTCGTGTAATACATACATAATTTATATATAATTCAAATTTCTCTTACACAATGCTGAATACCGACATTGTGTTGTGATTACTTAGATATGGGAAAATAATTTAAAATTTACCATTGAATGAGATTATCTTTGACTAGTAACTCGCTCCGGCTTCGCAAAAGTATAATTTGTATAGAGATCTCTACAGTTTCGATATATAAAAGTATCATCAAGTACTATAAAACTTTGGGAATTTAAACTATTTTAAGTTTCTAATTTATCGAAAGGAAATCAGATTTTTTTTTTTGACAATAATTTATATTTGCTCTATATATATGCGGTAAGGCATTACGTAACATTGAATTTCATTGACCACAGTTAAAGAAACAGTTTTTCTGAATTTAATTCGTTCTGCTTATTCTGTATAGTTGTCTGCATTAAATATTTGATATAATTGGTGTGATTTATTATTATTGCAGTATAAATTGCTTAGCCAGTCATAATATTGATAGTAATTTACAAGCGTAATATATTTTGTTTATTATTAACAATCCTAATTATTTATGAGTTTAATTATATTCAGAAATGCTGTTAAGGTTGTTAAACAAATTCGATAATGTAGATAATTAGTACTTAATGCAAATATAATAGTATATTAAATTGTATTTTTAGTGTTAAGATTATTTATTACATTATTAAAATACATATGTAATGCAAGTATATTAAACATTTACTAATGAATGCAATTTTTGACTGTATAAAGTACAATAACACTACGTAAGGTTATTTTACCTATTTCCCATAACAAATTAATGAGATAAAAACTAATAAACAAACACCGTAATCCATTTCCTTTCTAAGGTGCCATATAGATATGTTTTCAGGATTTATCAATCCTGAAAATAACAGACAACAAACTAATCTAAAAAAATAAAAGTAAACACTCACCATAGACTGCATGATTACTTTATGTTAAACTAGGTTTTAGAGATCTCAAACGAACTAACTTAGGCGCTGCTGTTATCCAGTACTCGCCTAGAAATTTTCGCCTAAGCGACGACGTGTGTATGCAACCACTTTCGAAGTCAGAATGTCGATTGGACACAGCCTGTGCCCTTATATATGTAAGACCCCGCTTTGGCGGATCGTAGGTAATTGGAAACAATTAACTAGCTAGCAAGTGCAATGCCGTAATTTTTAATTGTAAGATGCACATGCGCGTATCCTCCGGAACGCGTTGGGGATGTTTTGAGGGATGTTCTGCAATTAAATAGTTTATCTTAATTAAAGAATTGAGATTTCCTTATATTGATATCGTGATAAAGGAAGGTTATGTAGTATTATGCGAAATACATTCTGTGTAAATGATATTTGTCGGTGACCTTTTGTAATAATTTGTTTCTAGATTAGTATCTCTGTACGACGGCTCATCACGAGCTACATTTTACGCTACAATTAGTTATCATTTCTGGATAATTTAAAGAAAATGTAACAATAATAAACTCGAAAGCATGAATTCTTACAGATTAAATGTTAGATAGCTCAATTGAATTATTGCTAGTCCTTGGACTTTAAATTCTAATTTAGAATCATAAACAATGATTCTAAATTAGAATTTAAGAGCTTGGTGGTCTACTCTCATACATAAAGAATCACATATTAGGATTATCTTATCCATAAAATACTATATAATTAAATATAATTCCTTAATGGCATTGTATATTTACTTTATTAGGAATACAGAGCGGTTTATTATTTCAATTTGAAGAGAAACTGCTAAACAAGACACATTACGTCTTTTTCCTTTGCTAAGTTGCATGCGTTGACCCTCATGCTTAGCGATTCTGATGGACTAAGATTATAAACTTCGGTACCCTGTAATTACACTGCTATATCTCACCACTCAACCATACATACATTAGACTATACTGCTTGGCGTCTCAAATACTGAAGACAGAAGTCCTCACGCAGACGACTTTGCGCATTAGCCCTAACTTAAATTATATTTACAGAGTTTTGTTACTTTAGGTGAATTTTCAATAGGTGAATGGCCACCGTACTCTATTGTGAAGCGTGCGTAGAGAACAGCTACTTTTCATGCAGTCAGTATAAACTTCTGCCGTATCCAACTGCCCTCTGTACCAGAGCACTCCGTATGGAAGAAGGTACCTTGCTGAGCATCATGTCCCCAACACCTCTCCATACAAAACGAGCTCGATGAAATTTTGTCCATAGGATAAGGCATAACAATGAACTAATATTATAACTTATAATATTAGTTCATTATTTCACATTAGTCAATTTTTTAAAACAAGATTGATTTAGGAAATTCATAACACAGAACTGAAAAACTGTATGAGTAGAACAACTACAGCGTAGTATTATTGTGTGGACATACTCTTCTTAAACCTGGTTAATACGATCAGTTTATATGCCAGTACTCATATTCTTATGCAAGTAATTTGCTTTATTAGCAGTGCTCTAATTTGAATGATGAGATATGATAACTGTATAAGAAACAATAATTTCTTATATTAATTATTAATAATGTATCACAATATATTTCGTGACGTCCATAATGCTGTTTATTCACATAACCTACCATCACCATCATATTCCACTTTCCACTCAGTCGTTCCAATTATATTAAATATCTATAAGATCAGTAAAATACACTTATCTTTTATTTAACAATAGTTTTTTAAATATGAATTATTATTTATATTACCCAATATGTTACTCCAGCACCAAATTAAGCAGAATTCCGTCTCAGATCTTTTGTAGATTACATTATTAGGAAACATGTAATAATAAAGTTTGATCTTGTAGGTAATAATTTTTCCGTAATTTACATACATAGGTAGCTAAAAGTAATATATTATGTCACAGCAAGAGATAACAAATATTATAAAACTGCAATATACTTAACTACCAGTTATTTCCTTGTTAAATTAATTATGTTAAAACAGTACATTTTTGAATACAACTATGATTTATACTAAAACAATATTAGAGGTCGACTGTAAAAAGTAGTACACGTGAATAACTGAGGCTAGCTTAGTAAATTGTGTTTCAGTCTTATGGATATAACATATTTCAATCGGTTCACGCTGGAGAGGCACTAGTAGAGGATGATAAGATGAGCATGAGGTCAGGTCACTGCATCGTAGTAAATTCACCATGAATTTATCACGATGGTTTCCACGTGGTCGACCTGACATGCTACATTGCTAGCAATGGGTAACCCCATTAGACCACTTTACTAACAATCACCTTCCTCCCAACTGTCTTACAGTTGTAAGATGCGTATTAGGCTGTGAAATAACAGGATCTGAGATCTGACGTCTTAGTCTTTTGGAATAGGAATACCTGAGTGGTGTCAAGGGTGTCTCATGACTTGTCTGTGATATTGTTCATATATATAAGTCGTATAAGCGTATAAGCGTAAGTTATACGTTCGTTACGATTGTTATTCTAAAATACTTTCTGAAGTATAATTAGGAAAATGGTAGACACACATATTCATATCCTAATGCAGCTAGTATACTATTCTTTATTGGATTGTATAACTTAGTGTAAATTTAATTAACATGATTATGATGTTACAACCCTATTTTCCTTTAAGTTTATGCTTATATATGTACTTCTTTAAGTCATACAATATTTTCCTAACTGTCTGGGTGAGAACCCGATGACCAGTAACATAAAGTCTAAATAGTTCAGGCGCCAGATTTAAAATGGTCACTTTATTATTATTGTTTTTGCCATATAAACAGAACATTCCCTAGATTACTAGAATCCTTATATCAGAATTGAAATGGACAATGCGAGTGTATTCGTAATATACAAGTGTATGTACACCTAGAAAATACGGTTCTACAATGCTTATTTTAAACATTGAGGCCTACTTTACATATTTAAATTAAGATATAAGATTATTTTAATATTTATAGGTAGCAGTAATAATTTTTACACAATATACTTAGAACATACTCAATGCAAATAGACCGCGCATAATTATTGTGTAACTGTCAAAACCACTCTGAACTAGAAAGAGAATGAATGAGATTTTTACTCCATATACAACATTACATTCATAACTTCACTAATGCAATGGCTGAACTTAAATTTTATATTATTGTCACTAAACACAGGTAGTTTATTCTTGCGAATGAATTGCTCCACATTGGTTAAAGGTGTCTGTAATTTACTTAGATGATTTACTTATACTGCGCGCGTTATACCATGTTGTGAACTATATAGAGATAAATTACTATTATATAAGTTACTAGCTGAACTAGCAAACGTTGTTTAAAAATAATATTAAATAATAGGGGTTGGTGATAAAAGGGTGAAAATTTAGGGTTGTATGTATAGGGTTGATCGATAAATTCAGGAATAACATTAATTAACAATTACAACTATTATATGACTTTGACTCCACAAATTTTTCTATGTATGTTCTTTTTCTATTAACATACTATATAGTCAATTGCCAGCCGCGCCATGCTATAGTGCGCGTATTGTAATTGATCAATAACCTAAGATAATATTATGTTGGTTGACCAATTATTATTGTAGTAAGCTTTTTTTCTTTTACTTACTTTGTTCGTATTTATTTACGTCCATCATTCCGGTTCGATATTTATACACAGTTCTTAAGTATTATTGTGCGTATGTAATTTAATCGGACTACAGGACATCTCAATTTTATATTCATTACGTTAACGGGACTATCATCATTATAATGATATCTTCTTTTTATTAATAAAACACATAAAAAGTTATCCTACTGTAATATTTAAGAGAAAATGTGTGAAAATTATGTTGATATGTGATAGGTTAATATAACTAGACAGATTTGAAATGAATTTGAAAATATATTTAAATATATTACATTTTGAAGAGACCAATTGACTGACTAAATAAAGAAAGAAATGACTCACTAAAAATACCAATAAAGAAATAACGCAAAGGATTTTTTCAGTAATAATTGCATATGCCAAGAACAATCATTGCGAGTACAGCTTTTAACCTTGGTATAGCTTCCGATTAATAACTGCAACTCAACAAAGAACCTAAACAATGTCTGTTGCATTGTAAAATCATGTATAATTTTGATGTTGTGAACTCGCCTCTCCCTTTTGTTTGATCGACGTTTCGTTGCGTATATTTTTAAATTGGTACAGTCGTATCTCAATCGAAATATGAATTTATAATATAAATCATTTATAGGTATATCTAGTTATATGTATAACTTTATTATATTAACAAAAATTGTATTAAAAGAGCTATAAAATAATACAAAATAAAATATTTCGTAATGTACCTACTTGTTTGTAAAAAGTTTTGTCTACAACAAACACAAAGCGAATCATTATTCAAAAGCTTGGCACTATTGACAGATTGTGTCCGTCTTGAGTACATTCTCAGTTATATCAAAAAATAGGAAACTGCTAATTACGAAACGTATATTCATTATGAATATTTTTTACTGTATTATTATAAATATGAAACTATAAAACATACTCGGGTATCAAATAAATCATATTATATCTTGGTATAATGTTGTGGCGAAATAATGAATCAGAAATCCTTTATGAACGTAACGACTTTTCTCTCAACAGTAAAATTGCGTACCGCCGATGACGTTGATGTCTTTTATATGACAGCATAGACTCGATAAGAATAGTGACATATTTCTCTCACGGTTGCCTGAAAATAAGCATACTAATTAAACGAAATGTTTTGCTCATATAACAAGATAAATATTACATAGTTGACTATATAATTTCTTTTATAGTCTTTTACAGTCACAAACTAAAAAACTATGTATACAGTTTTATACCTATTTGCGTAGAATAAGAAAGATAAAATAGTTGTTATGAATTTTTCACTTCAATTCTAATTAAAAACAATTTTCAAATTCAGTTTTGTTTGTATGATGTGTAATAAGAAGAGATTGGCAACTATGTCTTCTCATCAATTTTTCATCTCCACATCTTAAAGGCTTCAACTCTGTATTGATCTGCCCTCTTTAGAGTACAAATCTCAGCCTCAAAGGTCATACGTACATACG